CTATCTTATGAGACTCTAATAAAGCAGCCAAATGTAGTTAATCTGATTCTGAAATTTCAGAATTCCTTGGCAATGCAGAAGTGACCCTATTCTTGAGATGCTGGCTTTTTGTGAGAAGTGTAAAGTCTATGCAAGAAAACTCACAACTTTCTTCTATGTAGAAATAACTAAGGAAAACTTGTGACATTTTGATAAGAAAACTGTAAAACTTTACTGATTGATACAAAAGCTTGAATGAATGAAAAGACAATATCATATTCCTGGATGTTAAGATGAAATGTAACAATGGTAATCCTGCCTAATTTATAAGTTCATTACAATAATAATCAAAAGGTTGGTTTTGATTAATAAAGATGAATTTTAATCTGGAATAAAAGAAAGTTACATATATAACTTCGCATAAATTTATGCATACATACACATACACTTTTTAAAGGCACAATGATGGAAAACATTAAATACAGCTATAAAAATTAAAAAGAATATAGTTCTAGGACAAAACAGGGCAACAAGCCAATAAAAGGAAATAGATGGTCCAAATATAGATCCTACATTACAAAATATAACTATAATTAACTAATAATGTGGAGGCAATTAACAATGAGGAAGAGTAATTTTAATTCTTTTCATACAATATGCCCAAGTAAATTCAAGAATGGCTAAAGCATATTTTTAAAACTCCAGAATAAAACACTAATGTTTACAGAGGGTTAGATTTTATAGGGTTGAAAAAAAAAATAGACGGATTGAACTATATAAAAATTGAAACCTTTTCAAAAAATAAAGAAAATACCAAACTGGGAAAATCATTTGCAGCCAAGATGACAACAAAGAATTAATATCCCTATTATACAAAGAGATGTATAAATTGATAGGAAGCTATTAAAGCCACATAGACAAATGATAAAAAAAACATACAGACAATGCAAAGAGTGGAAACACAATGGCTTAAGAAGCTTACAACAAACAGTTCAACATCCTTAAAAATCAAATAAAGACAATTAAAATGAGATGCCTTTTCCCTATTAGCAAAGTTCCTACTAAACACCCAAAGTTCCTACTAAGCACCCAGTGTGTGAGGAACACTATCCCCAATCATTCCTGGCAGTAGCAGCAGTGCAAACTGATGTAACGTTTCCAAAAGGAACTTGGATATATCAAAAATCTTAAAAGCAATTATACGCCTTCTGACCCAGAAATTCCTCTTTGGCAAAGTATATCTTAAAGAGATTCTACATTTGGAAGAAAGCTTAAGTACAAAAATGTTCATTATAGTATAACTATAAAAAATTGAAGCTAAATTTTACCTCTGTCCAGACCTGACTTAAATCCTGTTATATCCTAATATGAGTTCATCATGTAAATTCTTCAAGAAGAGGATTGTAGATGAGAGGTAAGTAAGTGGTTTATAGTCCTTTCCTAGAGAAAGAAAAATCAATACAACGTTTAGACCCTGCTAGGATGAGGCTAGGAGTATTTCCCAAACCTTCAAGATACACACCTTTTGGCTTAGAAATTCCACTGCTGAGGATTTCCCCTTAGAAAACAAGACCAGATGCAAAGACATTAGAGCAAATTAATAAGGAAAAATGCCCAAATTCCAAAACCCAAGGGCTAAAGGGGAGGAAGTGTAACTAGAGCAGCAATGTGTATATAAGACGTAAATTACAAGCAAGCCAAGTTTCCAATTCTAAAAGGCCAGATGAAATAAATTAGGACACATCCATGCAACCAAGTACTAAAAGGAAGCTTAGGAATGTATTTCTATATATGAAAAGATGTTCATAATATCCAAGAATGAAAATCATAGCCCTCAAAACAGAATTTATGGTAGTAGAGTTTATTTCATAAAAATATAACCTTTTTTTGGAGACAAAGTCTCACTCTGCGATCCAGGCTGGAGTGCAATGGTATGACTTGGGCTCACTGTAACCTCCGCCTCCCAGGTTGGAGTGATTCTCATGCCTCAGCCTCCCAAGTAGCTGGGACTATAGGTGTGCACCACCACACCCAGCTAATTTTTTGTATTTTTTAGTAGAGAGAGGGTTTCACCATGTTGGCCAGGCTGGTCTCGAACTCCTGACCTTAGTTGATCCGCCCGCCTCCGCCTCCTGAAGTGCTGGGATTACAGGCGTGAGCCACCACGCCCAGCCTAAAAATATAACTTTTAAAAGCTATAAAGATTTATGCATAAGAAAAAATGGGCACACACTTTTAGTAGCAAGTATATCTTGGAGGGGGAAGTATAAATATTCAAAGAAAAAACAAACATTTTCTAGTTTTCTTCAGGGAATATGTATTACTTGCATAGCCACTGAAATCTTAAAACATGAGTGTTTCTAAATTAAAGAAAAAAATTAACCTGGCCAGGCGTGGTGGCTCACGCCTGTAATCCCAGAACTTTAGGAGGCCGAGGCGGGTGGATCACTAGGTCAGGGGTTCAAGACCAGCCTGAGCAAGATGGTGAAACCCCATCTCTACTAAAAATACAAAAAATAGCTGGGCATGGTGGCTCATGCCTGTAATCCCACCTACTCAGGAGGCTGAGGCAGCGAATTGCTTGAACCCAGGAGGCAGAGGCTGCAGTAAGCCACGATCGTACCACTGCACTCCAGCCTGGGCGACAGAGAGAGACTCTGCCTCAAACAAACAAACAAACAAACAAAAAAACTCAAATGTAAGAGCAGTGCCCAAACTGTTAAATATGTTAGGAATCAGGTGGGAAAGCAGCAACATGGATCTCTACATTCTCCCAGGGCCCATTAGGATAGCAGCAAGAAAAGCAGCAGGCTGAAAGCCAAGTCATAGGTTGGGGCATCCGCTTCGGTAACCTGAAGTCTGACTTATAAAACGTAGAAGCAATGGCTTGTGCACATCCCATGTATTCCAAAAAGTACATGGCAGTACACTGACACTGCTGCCATTTGTGGCATGAAAGCAGCCTCAAAAGGAAGCTTATCTAGTTTGACATTTCTTGACTTTCCTGAATTAAAGGTCCTCAAGAAGCCTTAGATCCTGGCCCATGGTTGTCAATATAACAGCCCATACCTAGACCCCTCAAGCGGTATCTACCAGGTTTAATTTCAGACCTCTGACGATCAGGCTGAGGTGATCGAGGTGAGGTTTGTAGAGAAATCTAGAGGAGACAATGCAGAAGGAACTAAAGCAGCTGGCCCAGGAAAAATACCCAGTGATGGTGAAAACTTTGAAACATCATTGTTAGTGACTGCTACATTGGCTTGGAGCATAACATCAAAAAGCTGGGCCTTCGGGCAAAGCGGACATCATGTGCCCTGGTGGAATATTATGTAAAGCACACAGAACCACCTATGATGTGTTCTTGCCAAAGAAGTTGAATATGAATGTAAATTAAGTCTCCAGAGCCTAGAGCTAACTTCTATGTACAGAATATACCGGGGAGAGAGGAACAAGCTGACGGGCACCACAGGAAGCAAACATACACACTTAGACTAAGGGGCATTCCACAGAACAACTGACCCAGTTTCTCCTAGTACTACTTGCATAATCACACAAAACTTGAGGGAAAGAAAGGAGTGCTAGAATGGAAGCTGCCAGGTATGGGGAAGGGGAAATGAGGAGTTACTGTTTAATGGCACAGAGTTTTAGTTTTGTAAGATGAAATAGTTTTGGGCACCTGTTGTGTAACAATGTGAATATATCTTTTTTCTTTTCTTTTTTTTTTTTTTTGAGATGTAGTTTTGCTCTTGTTGCCCAGGCTGAAGTGCAATGGTGTGACCTCCACTCACTGCAAGCCCCACCTTCCTGGTTCAAGTGATTCTCCTGCCTCAGCATCCTGAGTAGCTGGGACTACGGGTGCCTACCACCATGCCCAGCTAATTTTTCTATTTTTTAATAGAGATGGGATTTCACCATGTTGGCCAGACCAGTCTTGAACTGCTGACCTCAGGTGATCCACCCACCTCGGCCTCCTAAAGTGCTGGGATTACTGTCGTGAGCCATTATGCCCAGCCCACAATGTGAATATACGTAACGTAACTGAACTGTATGCTTAAAAATGGTTAAGATGCTAAGCTTTATGTGGCTTTTACCACAATGAAATATAAAAATTTTTAAATGAGTTCTTCCAAATTAAAAAATGTAAATATGAAGAGAAGTGTCTAAACTGTTTGATGTATCAGGAACTGGATAGGAACAGGAGGGAAGTTCTATATTAACCTCAGGATTGCACAGGCCTTAAAAATGTGAGGGGATTGCTTTAGATTAAGAGGGACTTAAGAGATCAAACAACCAAATGCAATCTGTGGACTATGTTTAGATCCAGATTGAAACAACCCAACTGTAAAAGGACATCTTGGAGATAATCAGGGCAGTCTGGTTATGGTGTGAGTAAAACCCTTTGTCTGGGGTGACTTAAACATTTCCTTTTTAAGTAGAGGTACCAAAGTTCAAAAAACAGAGATGATTCTATTGACAAAAAATATTAAGTAAATAACATTTAAAGCAGAATGTAGATCTAGCAAAAACTGCAAAGGGAGAAGTGAAATAAAAGACTGATCAGGCCATGAGCCTTCTGACCCGGGGAAAGCAGCAAACTTCATGAGATGGTGCATGCGGTAGAAACTATCTTAAAGACATGACAGGCTTTTCCTGGAGGTGAAGGGAGAAAAATTACGGAGGATGGACAAAGAAAGTGGTTCCAGAAAAGGACGGGAGCTTACTGAAAAGGCACAGGAGCCAACTCGAAAGAGCTCCCAATGGTCAAAGCTGTAGCCATTTAAACAGCAAAATAAATGATAGTACTGAATTACAGCCCATAGAACAAATACCCATGAATACATTCTGATATAAACAAATGAGGGCAATCCTCCCTCATGATGAATATCACTGAAAAAGGGAAAAATCTATTAGCTACTTTTCTACGCAACAAAAATACTCTTTGTAAGCTTTTCACCTGTGTGACACGTGAGGAACCCCCTCTTGGAAAAAGGTTTTCCTACATCCTTGCAACTTTTTTTTGGACCACACTTTGATGAATTTTCAAGCCGTTAACAAGGTGTGGTGGCTAGTGGAAGGCCTTCTCACATTCAGAACACTCTTTCTAGGATGAAGCTGAAACTGTTGAGAAAATTGCGTGCTGTGACTGAAGGTTTCTCAACAGTGATTGCACTCAACATTTCTTTTGAGAATGGAGTTGATAATGCTGAGTGAGGTATGAGGGTCGGCTGAAACATTTCCCACACAGCTGACACTGGTAAGGCTTCTCGTGAGCATGAGTTCTATAATGCTGAATGAGATGTGAACTCTGACTGAAGGTTTTGCCACAATCACAACACTGGCAGGCTCTCTCTCCAACATAGTCATGTTTCCGCTGATAACGAATGAAGTATGTCTTGCTGCGGGACAACCAGGGAGGAAGGACTCTTGCTGCCTCATGGGCTTTGAGATGTTGAAAAAGATGCACGTTCTGGGTAAAAGCTCTGCCGCACTGAAAACATTCACAGTAGTCCTCCTGACTACGAATTCCTACACGTTCACAGAGCTTCGTGCACTGGATGGAAGACTTTCTATCTTTTTTGCAGCCAGATGGCTTCCTACCAGAATGAGTCTTCTGATGTCTCTTGAGGTGTGGCATGAGATAGAAGGCTTCACCACACTGTTTACATTCAAAGGGTTTCTCCCCAGTATGGATCCTCCTGTGTCTCCTGAGGGCTACTCGAGTACTGAAGGTTCGTTTGCAAAATTCACATCTGTTGTGTTTGTTCTCTTGGGACACTGACTGGGGACTGGTACATATTCCAGGAGTAGTGCCTTCCTGGGGATCCTTTCCTAGAGGATCCTCTGATTGTTCAGTAAGATTAGAGTGTCTCTCAAATTCATCATTGCCATAGCTTCTTTCCTGAGTGAGAGTCTTGGGGGCATTCATTGTTATAGGACTCAAAAGTTTCTCTTGGTTGCCCTGGTGTGGTTTCAATGGGTCGTCATGAGACTCTCCTGCAGAGACATGCCAGAAGTTACCTACTGCTAATTCTCCATTTCTGCCTGCAATAATAATATTTCTGTAGGCAGGCTTTGCCCTGGAGTTACTGCTTTGGTTTCAGGTCTCTTTTCCTAATCTAAAAAGAAAATGTAAAAATTCCTCTCTTCTTTTTACTCAGAGAGACATACCAATATAATAGAAATAAACAGACCAAGGGTAACAGATGGATCTTATGGAGGTTGAAAGGGCTTTCTGAAAACCTAAAAAGAAAATAGGAAAAGGATAGAAAGGACAGTAAGCAAGGAAGAGTGAGGAAGAGGCAGAAAAAGGTCATCCAGGAGGATGGCATGTCACAAAGATGCCAGAAATGTACAGAGCAGAATGAGAGGAAATCAGAGAAAGAGCTGCGGTTGGAGTTTGTGAGCATTTTCCAAACCACGTTTGGCAGATTGCTAATATTCTGCAAAACAAATAGCCACAAAGGGGGTTCCGTTGTCAATTTGGAAAATGTTGTATGATGCAAATCAAGCAGGTTTCATTCCCATGGGACTCGGAACTTTTAATATGCATGTCGAATCCCAAGGAGGGAAGGTGCAGAATGTAGCATTTCTTAAACCGAAACATTTTTTTTTAAAGAACATCTATTACCATGGGTCTGCAGGATCACAGAGGAAACACTGGACTGAACAGGTCAACAACCTCTTGTTCAGAATTAAGCAAAGATTCTCTTTGCTTGGCTCCAAATCTCTTGTTTTACCCCAATCTATACTGCCAACCAATTTCCTTTAATTCAGTATTTATTAAATGCCTGTTTTGTGCAAGGCATTATCTAACCAGATGGGTCAGAGGTCTGTAAAAGGGGCTCTAATCAGATTATAAATGACACAAGAGCAGAGATGGGGGAATTGACTCCACTTAGGAACAGGACATGATTAGTGGAAAGGACAGCATTTGGCCTCTTTAAACGGGGAAGGGGGTAAGAGTTTCTATAAAACAGCCTGAGTTAGGCCATAGAACTGTGAAAGTATACAGTCCTAGGTAGCTAGAAACACAGGATCTTACTCGCAAGATCTGTAGGAGATGAGGCTGGGATGTGAATTTCAGGCCAGACTGGAAGGAACTTTAGTGTTTTGCTAAAAGTTTGAATTTTCTCTTGACGGTGGTAAGAAGTTGATAAAAAGTGTATGCTTTATAAAGGTAACTCTCTGGTAGGAAAAATACTGAAGCCAAGGGAGTCAAGTATAAGACTGTGGTTTGGAAGAGAGGTGATTAACACAGTAGTTGCATCCTGGCAGACACTTGAAATATGTGAACAGAGAGTACAGGTAAAACAGAAGCAGAACATGGCTTAGGAAGTCATCAAGAAGAGGGATAGCTGGGCCCATCACAATGGATTGACTCTTCTAGAGGTGGTCTTTGAAGAGAACACTCAAGAATGGAAGACTAAGAGAACACCTAGTCCTCACTGGCTCTTTTGTTTCCCTCACCCTGCTGTACATCCAATATTTCAGCATGTTCTGCCAGTTCTCCTTTCAGGGAATACCTCAAACCTGACTCCTCTACAACCACAGCCTCAGCCTCCATCATCTTTAGCCTGATGGACTTCAATGGCCTCCTGAACTGGTTTCTCTGGCTTTTCCTCATAAAGCCAGTTCTCCATAGAACAGCCAGATGGATCTTTCTAGAATATCACTGCCCAGCAGAACTCCCAGTGATGATGGAAATTATATACATATTTGCTGTCCAGCACAGTAGCAATTAGCCATGTGTGGCTATCAAATACTTTCAATGTGGCTTATGTGACTGAGGAACTAAATTTTAAATTCTATGTAATTCTTACTAGTGTAAATATAAGTAGCCACATGTGCCTACTGTCTACCATATTGGACAGCAAAGTTCTAAAATGTGAATAACACCACCTCATTCCCCTACTCAAAACTTCCCACCATCTTCGCATCTCACTTACAACAAAATTCTTTAACATATTCCTAAGTGGGCTGGCCCTTGACTATCTGAGTGGGCTCATCATCTACCCTCCACTGAACTCAGACCATATTGCCCTTCTTCCTGGTTTTAGAACACCCAACCTCATTCCCATGTCAGGGTCCTTGCATTTGCAGTTTGCCCTGCCTATTACACTCTTCCTTAAGATTTCTACATGGGTCAGCCCCTCATCTCATTCACATCTTCCACAGTGAGGCCTTCTCTGACTGGTCCCTCTTAAGCAACCTCCCATATCTCACTCTCTATCCACTTTACACTCAGTTGTTATTTGTCTACTTTTTAAAACTACCTCTCTCATTAGAATGCAAGCTCTATGAATGAAGAGATTTGTCTGTCTTGTTCATTATTATACCCACAGATGCTAGGACAGTACCTGGCCCACAAGAGAAGCCTGATAAATATCTATGGATGACTGAATGAATGAACAAACCAGGGTAGGGAAAGAGGAAAAAACAATGAAAGAAACAGAGAGGAGTCTTCCTGGTAACTTCTTGGGTTTTGTTTGGACATCCACTTTTCCACTCACACTGAAAAAGGTGGAGGAGGGCTGTGTCAATTAGCACTGTACTGGACACAGCTGCTCGTTCAGGAAAGGGATATAACCCAATATGGAACAATGACAAATCGGGAGAGGTATGTCAAGGGCTTCTTGAAAAGATGCTTCCTCTCTCTCTCGAATGCCTCTTGGGCACACCAGCTCTTTATTGCTCCTTCTTTGTACAGGAAAAAAAAATGCATCTAGGATTTATTGTCAAAGTTTAAGGCACAGTAGGAGAAAATGAAACTAGGTCTTCGATTACTTCCCTGGGTCCCTGAATACAGCCCAGCTGATCAGTGTCACAGGCTAATAATCCCTCTATGACTTTAGCCAGTTTGCATGTGGGTTTTCTGTGATCCTAGCTGATGCACATGGTGACCCAATTCAAAGAAGGGCATTTTATGAAGATGGTGGATGTTATTAGATTGTAGCCATAGAGTTTGGGAGAGGTGAAGTCTAGAACATTCTTGTGATTCTAGAACCATGAGGATGCTAGTGGGGACCTTTTGTGGAAGAAGTTTCAAATAAGTTTCAAATAAGAGCGTATATGTGTGTCTGTGTTGGCAGAAGGAGAGGGATGGAAACCAGATGTGCAGGTTAAGAAGCAAAGGGAAGGGAGCCTCTGGGTGTCAACAAGCCTAAGGAGCTGATGTGAGGGAAAGTGGAAGGGCAGTGAGAAAGACAAGTGGTATCAGGCCAAGGTTTTTTGCTGGTCTCAGTTAAAGAAGAAAGATCTGTGATTTCTAGCTGCAAGGAGAAACGCATGAGTGAATGGAAGGGCTGGAACACAAGTGAAAAAGGACACTGGCTTCCTGGAGCTGAGCAGGAGAGGAACTCATGTTGCAGGAAGAGATGAACTTCAGAAAGGAGACGAAGGGGAGTACTGAGGAGAAAGAGCCCCTGAGGTGAGAGCACCTACCAGCCTTCTCCCTGGCCCAGAGGGGCTTTGAAGAAAGCTCCCTGACTAGCATTTCCTGGTCCTAACTCCTCCACCCTGGGCTTCCCCGTCACTACCCACCTTGACAAATCACTGCATTGCTGTCTGTCTCCACTGCACGTGATTCCTCCTTTTCCAGGCGTGAGATAATGTCAGGTTTAGAGAAGTGGTACCCTGTTGGAGAGGAAGACTCAGAACTCAGGGGTTCAGTAACTCCCAACACTGGGTCCCAAAGACTCTGGGATAATAAGGAAGGAACAAACTCTCACAGGAGTAAAATGAAGCCTGTTTCCAGCCTATAGAGACTTTATCCCCTAAGGGACATTTAGAATGCATGGAGATACCTTTGGTTGTCACAACTGTGGGAGCAGAGGGAGGGGTTCCTGGTGTCTAGAATGGCTGGAGGCAGGGATGCTGCTCAACATTCTGTAAGACAGCCCTGCAACCCAGAATGATCTGGCCCCACATCAAGAGTGCCAAGGTTGAAAAACTGCTATGAAGACTAAAAATGGGGCACGAGGGCAGTGTGTTGAGCTCTATACTTCAGCAATAAGAATCTGCTGCAGCTGCTCACAAAGTCAACATTTGGTTCTTTTCCCACCTGTGATAACATCCGCTGCCCTTTTGTCTTGAAATGCTGTTCTTCCCCCTCCCTTATTTCCTTGTTTCCCAAACTTCTATCATTTGCATGCCAAACTATTTGTTTACTGTCTGACTCTCTTCACTCAAATGTAATATCCTTGAGAACGGATTGTCGTCTATTTTGTAACCCCAATGCCTGTACCAGACTTTGTACCTCTCAGTTTGCTGACAAGTTAATGAATATTTTGGCACTTCTATGTGCCATTTATAGTTGTATTCGGTATTTATTTAATGTTTTTCTTTAGATCACCTTTCTTTTTAACTTAAATATGCTTATTTTCTTTCCTTCCTTCCTTTTTTTTTTGAGACGGAGTTTCACTCTGTCGCCTAGGCTGGAGTACAGTGGCGCAATCTTGGCTCACTGCAACCTCTGCCTCCCGGGTTCAAGCGATTCTTCTGCCTCAGCTTCCCAAGTAGCCGGGATTACAGGCACCTGCCATCATGCCCAGCTAATTTTTCATATTTTTAGTAGAGATGGGCTTTCACCATGTTGGCCAGGCTGGTCTTGCTCCTGACCTCAAATGAACCACCTGCCTCAGCCTCCCAAAGTGCTGGGATTACAGGCATAAACCATTGCACACAGCCAATATGCTTATTTTCCATGGAAGCTTTATATCAACCCTGTAAATAAAAACCAATGTCACACACACACAAAAATTGAAGGTAACGTAATGATAAATATAACAGAAACTAAGGTTATTGAGTGCTACCTAGCTTCTGTTGCCTATCTAGCACCCAGGGTTTGATGTCTGCTCTCTCTTTGATAAAACAGAAGAATAAAAACACAGAGAGATATGCCAACATCAAACTGATATTCTTTACTTGATATAATCGTAAGACTTAAAAGAAAATTAGAAGAAGAACTTATTTCTCACCAACAGATTGAAGGATTATGTCATGCTGTCCATGTGCTGCCTAAAAGAACCTTCTATTTAGCCCACTGTACTCATTCCACACTTGGGAAGGCAATGTTCCAGGTGATATATAAGATCTCTATTAACACAAAACCTTCAGTGTTAAAGAAGCCAAGGGCTCACGAGACAGAATGCCTCCAGTTCACTGAGTAAGAGCTGAAAAGATAAAATTAATTTATTTCCTCTATTTTGATACTATTCCCTCTATTTTAATGCATAAAATGTGGTTAGCTAGAGAAGAGTGTAAAAGATGTTGGAAAATGTACTTCCTTGTAACCGATAAGAACCAGAGTTCAAAGTGTGCACCCCTGGGCCAGGTTTGAGATAGGATGCATGTGTCTTCCCATTAGGTCTCTGACTTCACAAAGTTACTGCCAGTTGAACAGTATTTGTTTTGGATTCTGCTTTTCAGGGGACCTCAAGCCCCCAAAAAAGCCACTGAAAAAGGATCTTGGCATCGGCAACATAAACTTTTCACTTTTTACTTTCAACATTACCTGTGAGAACAGGTAAAACAATTTTGCCTCTGGATGTAAAGAGAGATCGGCAATCTCTGATTCTTACACCTAAAGCCAGTAGGAGTCTTTAGAGCTCCTGGAATTTTTAGCAATTTCTTCACTCATTCACAAAACATCATTTCAAGCCTTCCATTGTGCTGAGAACTGATGGAGCAAACCCCTGTCAGGTAGCACATCAGAGTTTAAGAGGCCAGATTTCTGGAGTCAATCTGCTTGGGGTTAAATCCCAGCTTTTGACAAGTAATTTAACCTTTCAATGACTCAGTTTCCTCAACGTTAAAAATGTCAATAATAACAACAACAATAAGCATACCTCCCACTCATAGGACTGGTGTGAGGATTCAAGAAGATGAAACATGTAAAAGACTTACACCAGAGCCTGACACATATTTAGTGCTCAGTCAGTAAATGTTAGCTATTTTATAATTAACAATGAATTTGATGTTCAAATATTAAAATATTGCCTCTGACCTGGGTTGAGACTCACTGACATGGTGAACTACCATCACTGATGAGAGGACACAAAGTATTTGAGAGCCACTGTCCTAGTGGGAAGAAACCAAGTCCTGTGAAGGCATACCTACCCAGGGAGACCAGGTTCCGGTAATTCTCCAGGGTCACCTCCCGGTAGAGGTTTCTCTGAGCAGCACTAAGGGAGCTTAATTCCTCCAGGCTGAAGTGCACAACCACATCCTTGAAGGTCACCAACTCCTAAAACATCAGAAATGTTCGTAAGTGTTCGAAGTCCAGGAGGATTCCAGAGGGGGAGAAAGAACCTGATTAGAGGGGACTCAACATGATGCAGGCATTCAGACCAGCAGAGGGCTTCCAAGTGCTCTAATCCAGAGCCACGGGCACCTGGCATTGCATCCTTCTGGGTCTGAGAGAAGTGGGAACATTACTGTAATAGTTCCTGTTGCTAATTACTACCTATTTGAGTTGGAGGGAAAATATCCTTTTAAGCCACTTTATCAAGAAAGAATGCAAGCATGCAAATACTTAAAAACTCAGCAGTATATCTCAGCCCCAGGAATCAGAGTCCTGGGTCTGGTTCTTTGTGAGTTTGGGTAGGTTAAGTCGCAGAGCCCCATCTGTAAAATAAGGTTCTCATAACATGAAAAAATGTTCAATCTTATTAATAAACAAGGAAATGAAAATCAAGATGACAAAATACCATTTTATACCCATTCAATTGAGTATTGAGTAAAAATTAAGAAGTGTGACAATACCAAGTATTATATAAAACATGGATCCACTGGAGATGCTAAGGGAAATGTAAATTGGAAAAACAGTTTTGACCTAGAAATTCTTTATTTAATTTTTAAAAATTTTTGTGGGCACATTGTACTTGTATATACTTATGGGGTACATGGGATGCTTTCATACAGGCAGGCAATGTGGAATAAGCATATCATGGGGAATGGGGTGTTCATCCCCTCAGGCATTTACCCTTTGAGTTACAAATAATGCAATTACACTCTTTAAGTTGTTTTAAAATGTACAATTAAGTTATTATTTACTATAGACTCCCTATTGTGTTATCAATAGTAGGTCTTACTCATTCTATTTTTTTTTGTACCCATTAATCATCTCTACCTCCACTCAACCCTCTACTACCCTTCCCAGCCTCTGGTAACCAACCTTCTACTCTCCACTGGACCTAAAAATTCTATTCCTAGGTATATTTGCTCATGTTTATAATATGCATATTATAAACATGCTCATGCATTGTTTGTAACACCCAAAATCTGGAAATAATCCAAACATTCATTAACAGTAGAAGAGATGAATATAGTATAGTCACACAATGGAATAGTATTCTAGCAATAGAAATCAATTAACTACAGTTATATACAACAATCTTGGTAACCTAAGTTGAATTTAAAAGGCAGATACCATATACCCAAAGGAAAATAAGCCATCCTACCAAAAAGACACATGCACTCATATGGTCATCACAGCACTGCTCACAGTAGCAAAGACATGGAATCAACCCAAATGTCCATTTATAGTGGATTGGACAAAGAAAATGAGGCATGTATACACCATTGAACATTATGCAGCCAAAAAAAGAGCAAAACCATGTCCTCTGCAGCAACGCAGACACAACCAGAAACCATTATCCTAAGTGAACTAATGCAGAAATAGAAACCAAATACCACGTGTTCTCACGAGTGAGAACACGTGGTATTTGGTTTTAATGACTTTTTCCCTTTTTAATGACTGTGTATACACAGTGTTTAGGGAGCTAAACACTGTGTATACACAGTCATTAAAAAGGGAACAACAGGCACTAGGGAATACAGGAGAAGGCAGGGAGAGAGTGGAGGGAGGGTTGGGAAAAGCCACCTATTGGGTACTATGCTTACTACCTGAGTGACAGATTCATTCACGCTCCAAACCTTAGCATCGTGCAATACACCTCGGTAACAAACCTACATATGTATGTCCTGATTCCAAAAAAAAGTTAAAAAATAAAACATAGACTGACATCTTCAAATCTAACATTATCCTAAGGCAATAGGATACTTACCTTCCTTAGCAAATCTGAATGTCTACCAACTAGAAAATTGTAACATGTATGAGAAAATGCATGGGATCTTCCCACTCAAATATGCTAATCCAATAAACAGTCTTTATAGACAGGTAAGGACAAAAATTGAAAATTGAAACTTGCTAGCCATTTTGCTCAAAGTGTTATAGCAGTTAATGAACTTTTCTGTTGTTTCTAGTTGTACTTTGGCAACGAAAAAAATGATTCAAAACCAAAGGTACATTGTTAGGCTGGGGTCTTAACCTGGCAATCATGGTTTCTTAAGGCTGAGCTTTGCAGTGAATGTGCACCTTTCTGGAAGAGAAAAATTCCAAGTTTCTCAAAGGAGTCTGACTCAAAATATTTAGAATAGAGAGCAATCTCAGTTTTTCATAACCATTTTTTCTTGTGCTTTATTATACTTAACTAATACAGTTAATATGCTACAATGCCTTGAATATAATCGATAATCAATATTATTAGATAAAAAAGGCGCAGTGGCTCATGCCTATAATCCCAGCACTTTGGGAGGCCGAGGCGGGCGGATCACGAGGTCAAGAGATCAAAACCATCCTGGGCAACATAGTGAAACCCTGTCTCTTACTAAAAATACAAAAATTAGCTGGGCGTGGTGGCGCACGCCTGTAGTCCCAGCGTGGTGGCGCACGCCTGTAGTCCCAGCTACTCAGTAGGATGAGTCAGGAGAATTGCTTGAACCCGGCAGGCGGAGGTTGCAGTGAACCCCGATTGTGCCACTGTACTCCAGCCTGGCGCCTGGCAACAGAACGAGACTCTGTCAAAAAAAAAAAAAAAAAGACTGCTAAAAGAGAAATGTTACCTGATTCATTTTAAGAATTGAATTTAGTTGTAGAAAAGGTATTTATTTCAAGTAAGAAACACTGTACGGTCAGTCATAATTTCCCCTTCACAGTGCATATTTAAACTATCGTGGTCATGTGGTAGTCAGAGCATTTTTAAGACTGCTCTCTTACTGTTCCCAAATGTTTTCCTACTGTAAATTCTCCATTGACCCTACTGCTTTTATTTTTTCCATCTCATCCTTTCTAACTATTAGAGAAAATCATGGGAACAAACCTATACTGGAATAAAGAGTCTTGAGTTCTGCTATTAGCTAGTTGTGAGATATGGGCTAATTAATCTTCAATTCTCATTGTCTCAACTTTAAAATAAAGAGATTCACTACATTAAACACATAAAATCTTTTCATACTACAAAAATAAAAAGGCAGATATCAGAAGATTACATAATACTATGATACCCATTTTATTAATATACATCTTTTGTGTTTTTTTTTTTTGTTTTTTTTTTTTGAGACAGAGTTTCACTTTTGTTACCCAGGCTGGAGTGCAATGGCGCGATCTCGGCTCACCGCAACCTCCACCTCCTGGGTTCAGGCAATTCTCCTGCCTCAGCCTCCTGAGTAGCTGGGATTACAGGCACGCGCCACCATGCCCAGCTAATTTTTTGTATTTTTAGTAGAGACGGGGTTTCACCATGTTGACCAGGACGGTCTCGATCTCTTGACCTCGTGATCCACCCGCCTCGGCCTCCCAAAGTGCTGGGATTACAGGCGTGAGCCACCGCGCCCGGCCGACATCTTTTGTGTTTTAATTGAAACTTTCTAAAACTTTTTATGCAAATCAACCAACAATGGATTAAATTAGGGTTCATATACTGGCTGCCCAGCACCTTCAGATGTGTTTATTTGACTCGTGGTCCTTTTATCCTTTTCAAAAATTTATATTTGCTACCATAACCAAAAAATTAGGAAATGTCATTATTAACTGGTTTTGTGGATTCTGATTTAAAAAATTAGAAGAGTTCTGTACTGTGTGTTATTGTTTTGTTTGTTTGTTTTTTGAGATAGGATCTTACTCTGTAGCCCAGGCTGGAGTGCAGTGATGTGATCTTCGCTCACTGCAACTTTTGCCTCCTAGGTTCAAGTGATTCTCCCACCCCAGCCTCCTGAGTAGCTGTGATTACAGGCATGTGCCACCATGCCCAGCTGATTTTTGTGTTTTTAGTAGAGATGGGTTTCACCATGTTAGCCAGGCTGGTCTGGAACTCCTGTCCTCAGGTGATCCTCCCACCTTGGCCTCCCAAAAGTCTGGGATTACAGGTGTGGGCCACCATGCCTGGCTTGAAATTCTTAATATACAAACATAAAGTATAATCAACATTTAAAATTTTTGAATTTCAGATAAACAGCAAATAGTTTTTTTGCATAAGTATGTCTTAAATATTAAACATTGCATATTTATGCAAAAAATTGTTTCAACTTAATACTTATGCTAAAACTTTATTCATACTTACATGAAAAATTTATTCATGGTTTATCTAAAACTCAAATTTAATTGGGTGTTGTGTATACCTGCTAAATCTGACGAGCCTAAGCTGCAGTATTAGTACTACATTAGGCAGCAATAACTAATATAGTACTAATGTAATAACTAATGTAATGGTTAGGATTGTGGACCCAAAAGCCAGACTGCCTGGGTTCATATCTTAGTTGTATTATTTAACAGCTCTGTGACCTTCAGCATCTTACTTAGACTTTCTGCCTGCACTCCCTCATCTATAAAAAGGGGTACAATAACAATGCAAACCACATAAAGGTTTTTTGAATAAAATGGAAAACTAAAAAAATAAACAATTAATTCAAAAGACATGAAAAGAGGAAAAATAATAAATATACAGTATGTGGGATGGTGATAAGTACAACAGAGAAAAGTAAAGCATGGAAGGAGGATTAAAGAATCAGAAGGATTTTTCTTAGAGAAACAAGAAAAAGAAAAGAATCAGAAGGAAACAGAGTAGCCAGAAAAAAAGGCTCAGCAAAGTGATAGTTATATAAAAACTTAAAGGAAACGAGGAAGTGGTTTAATTAAATAAGGAAGTCAGAAGAAAGCCTGACCCACCTGGGACCCAGCAGATGGTGGATTGCCTAACATCTCTGTGTTCCTCTTTTCTGCAGGGACAGAGTCCTGAGCAAGGAAACCTAGAAGGGAGAGAGGAATAACCATGGAATTAAGTCCTGTCTGGCAGTACTGACAGACACAGTGGCCTGCCACCCTCATGCCACCCTGTCCTGTCATGGGAAGGAATAGCAGTTCTAGAGTTCCTATGGTGAGAAAGACAGAAATCATTTCTGAACTCAATATAACAAGTTCCAAAAGCGAGCTCTGGTTATTGCCCAGCTCTAAATGCTTCAATGGCTCCCAAAGCCTTCAAAATACAGTAAAAGCTTCCTCTATATCAGTCATTTTGGGCATCACTGTCCAATCAAGATCACCACATTCTCTGTTTCTCAACTGTAAAGCAGAAATAATGACAATACCTATACAGTATCCCCCACTTATCTGAGGTTTTGCTTTCTGCAGTTTCAGTTACCCAGGGTCAACTGGGGATCAAAATTATTAAATGGAAAATGCCAGAAATAAACAATTTATATGTTATAAATTATGTGCCATTCTGGTGATGAAATCTCACACTTTGTTGCTCTTTCCCATTTGGGACATGTATCATCCCTTTATCCAGTGTATCCACTCTGTATCCACTAGCTACCTGTTAGTCACTTATTAGCTGTCTTGGTCATCAGATCAACTGTCATGGTATTGCAGTGCCTGTGATCATGTAACCCTCATTTTACTTAATAATGCCTCCAAAGCACAAGAATAGTGACGCTGACGTACTGTTATAATTGTTCTATAACTAGTTGTTGTTAATATCTTACTGTGCCTAATTGATAAATTAAACTTCATCACAGGTATGTATGTAGAGGAAAAGACATAGTATACACAGGGTTTGATACCATCCACATTTTCAAGCATCTCCTAGGGGTATTAGAATGGATGCCCCTCAGATAAGGGGAGTATACTATACCTCTAAAGGCTCTTGTGAGGATTAAACATTACATATGTAAGGCACACAGTATTTTTTAGGTAAATGGCAGCTCTTATGATTAAACCTTTCCTACATATTTTTCACTCACCGGTTACTCTTTAATCCAACCACCACCTTCCCTCCAGAAGCCTTAAGTTTGATGGCCTTCCTTGCCTATATATTCTCTTTTCTGGGTGTACCCTTCATTAATCTGCTGTTTCTTTCTGGTACCCTAGGGAACTGTCTTTCCTTCTCACTGAACTCTAGCTTCATCAATAACTCAGTGCCTCTGGCCAAGTTTTTAGCCCCTGGAAAACACCCATTATATCCATATGAGGCACTCACTGCAACACTGTGATTAAGAGTACAGATGTTGGAGCCGGCAGCCTAAGTCTGAATCCTGACTGCCAATTATTAATATAAATTGTGGAACCATGGTCAAGTTACTCAACCTCTTTATGCCTCTGTCTCCTGGTCTACAAAATGAAGGTAACACATATTTCACAGAGCTATTAATACAGGAAAATGAATTAATATGTAAGGACACCTATGATAATACATTAAAACACTCTAAGTGCTCAAGTGTTCATTATTAGCATTTTAAAAATTCTTTTAAGGAATGTGGGAGCACAGAATGGGATTAATCATAATCCCTAGTTCATGATGTGCTATCTTAATTGAGCCATGCATAGCCTTCATGGTTATTTTAAATCCATTTGTTTATATTTTTAAGTATAATTAAGGCCTATGAATTTACTATCCAATCCAAAACTTGAACCTTTCCAATAACTTACATCTGCCTGTGTGCTTCCTTCATGTCCATGCTCCATCCAGCCTTCCCTCTAGAGGTAACTATGGTCTGAGGTCTTCCATTTATATTCATTGTTCCCTTGCTATATATATGCCCCAAACAATACTTCATTTTTAGTTAGTACTATTTTCTTCAAAGGACTATAAGGACCCAGTGGCTTTCTTCTCTCATTCTTGACATGTGTTTCCTTAACTCTAATCTAATAACTTGAGTTTCTAAGATACCAGTCAAATTTTGGCAGAAGTTGAACTTCCAGGCATTGTATCTCCCACATTTTATGCCCCCTTGCATAAAATTTAGCTAATCATTCTTGTTCTTGAATAGAAAGACTAATGTAAAGACAAATTTTTCCAAATTTACACTTAATATATTAATACCACAAGCAATCCCAGGAGATTTTTTGTGTTATGTGTGTTGTTTTGTGTTGAAACTAAGGTTTGCACTGGATAAGAAATGTGAGGGGAACAAAGAAATGTGAACAAAGCTGGTACACTCAGAGAAACAGTAAATGTTAAAAGCAAAAGCCAAACCCACACAGCCATAAAAAACAACGAAATCATGTCCTTTGTAGCAACATGGGTACAGCTGGAAGCCATCATCCTAAGCAAATTAACACAGAAAAAGAAAACCAAATACTACATGTTTCTGCTTGTAACTAGGAGCTAAACATTGGGTTTAAACTACATGGACTAAACTACATGGACACTAAGATGGGAACAATAAGCACAGAGAATTCCAAAAGAAGGTAATGAGGAAGGAGGGCAAAGGTTGAAAAGCTGCCTATCCAGTACTATGTCCACTACCTGGGTGACAGAATCACTAGAAGCCAGAACTTCAGCATCACCCAATATACTCATGTAATAAACCTGCAAATGCACCCCCAAACCTGAAAATTAAAAAAACCAAACCCCATATTTCTTTCATCTCACATGAGATTAGGCAGATCAGACTGAATGTATAAAATTCATTGTTTCCTTCATTCACTCAGCAAATTTGTATTCAGCTCCTATTACATGCCAGGCATACAGCAGATATTGAATAAACAGAAGCAGCCAGTTGCTTCCTCCTTCTCACCTTGCTTCTCACATGCCTGAATAAAGTTTGCCACCATGGTTCCTGCCTCCTTGCTGTTCTTGGGCTGTTTTGACCTGCCCCATGTCTGAATCTCCTCTGGCAGGGTGCTCAGAAACTGTGCCAGCACTATCATGTGCTCTATCATGTGCTCCTTGGTGTGGATCTCTGGCTGTGTCTATTGCCAACAGAGCTCCTGGATTTGGCTCACAGCTTGATGAGGCCCATTCACTGACAGGTACTGAAAATTCCCAAACTTTTGATGAGAAACTTTCAGTGTCTCTGTTTCTAGTTTATCCTCTTGACCATGCACATGAAAGATGTAGTGATTCCTCAAGATATCCGAAACCCCTGTCACATGTGGCATCTCTATACCTTAGTCCTTTGCAGGAAAGAGCTACTCTTAAAGGCAGGCGGCTCTAGAACACAATGCTGTGGAAGATGGTGGGCAGACTTGTATTAGATAAAAGGACACAAAGACCTCAGGACTTGCAGAAATTACATAGAGAGACAACCAGCCTGAACAGTTATGAGTGGACAGTGGACTGAAGGTGATCTGAACAAGTATTACACAAAAGATGACAGCCAAATAGCCAATCAACATAAAACAAGGTTAAACTTCATTAGTTATCAGAGATATAGGAATTACAACCACAACAGGATATAATTATACACCCTCCAAAATGTTCAAAATGAAAAAGTCAGATAATACCAAGTGTTGGAAAGGAGACAGAGCCATAGTAGGACGATATATTTGCTAAACAGAAAATATGAATGTACATTGCTGTTGAATTAAACCAGGCTCAAAAAAAGGTCCATATTACATGATTCCATTTATATAAAGGTCAAAAATAGGCAAAACCTATTAGAAGTATTAGAAGTCAGAATAGTGGTTGCTGTTTGGGGGAAGGGTGGTAATGACTGGAACCAGGCATGAGGGCTTCTGGAAAGCTAGGAATGTTCTATTTCTTAATCTGGAAACTCATGATGTAGGCACAGTGTATTCACTTTCTGAAAACTGAGATACACATTTGTGGTTTGTGCCCTTTTCCACATGTATATTTTGCTAAACATTTTTTAGCTGTATTATAGTTGTAGGAAAACATCTAGGTCATAATATCAAGCGGAAAAATACCTGTACATAACAATATATGCTTAACCATACAAAGCACAGAAAAGGTGCTGAATCAAAACACTGCACCTTCAGTTTGCCTACGAGCAGTAAGATTATAACTGACTTTTGTAGGTGATTTTGTACTTTCTCTCTCATAACTATTTTCTAGCTTCAAAATGTTCTACAACAAACCTTCATTTCTTCTGAAATCAGAGAAATAAAACATAGTTTTCTTCCATAAAGGCTATACTCACTCTAAAGAACCATGAACAAAGATGCCACTTGGGGGAAACATTTTTTTTTTCTTCTCTTCACTAAAACTTATACCTTTTATTTCTATAATTTAACAGTTTTTCTATTTGAAAGCATTTATTTTTGTTTTCCATTATTATAAATCATAATGCAATGAACATCATTGAAATGAAGTATTTGTTTGCATCTCTGATATTTCCCTTCTAGGATATATTCCACAAAGTAAAATTACCTAGACAAAAGGCATAAACTTTTTAAAAAAAAGTTATTGACATAATCTGCCAAATTTTCCTTTTAAAGGCTTCTACCAACTTCTTCTTCCAAACTCAATATATAAGATTACAAGTCTCACTCAGTCCACCTTAGAAGCCAACAGACCAGCTTCACAGGCTTGTAATCAGGGCAGTCACAAGGGTCCCATTCTCACAAAGCCCACAGGCCTAGTTTAATGCTTTACTGTCACTCTCTTGAAAGTTTTCACAGTTTCTGGGACAAGGAGCCCCACTTTTTCATTTTGCACTAAGCCCTGCAAATTATGTCACTGGTTCTGTCAATCAAGAACATTATAAGCCCTCAAAATTGGCTGTTAATTAGACAGATTTAAAAATATATTGTTTTGTTCTTTAATTTTACATTTCTTTTGATTAATAATACGACTTCCTTTTTGTTTCATATTTACGAGCCAATTACAAATTGTTCTTGTCCTTTGTGCTTCTTTCCACTGAGGTATTTCTTTTTTTCTTTTCTTTCTTTCTTTCTTTTTTTTTTTTTTTTTTGAGGCAGAGTCTTCCTCAGTCGCCCAGGCTGCAGTGCAGTGGCGGGATCTTGGTCCACTGCAACCCCTGCCTCCTGGGCTCAAGTGATTCTCAGGCCTCAGCCTCCGGCCTTGGGGTGGGCTCCAGGCCCTCCAACTGCAGAGGGCCGTCCTGGGTCCCTCCCTGCAGGGGCAGCGATTTTCAGGTAGTCAGACGCAGCCCTCGCCTCTGGGGTGGCTTTTCCACCACAAGCACCCAACAAGGCCCAACACATATCCCCCTCACGAAGCCCCGCGCTGCCACGCGCTGGATGTCTCTCGCGCCCTCAGGGACACCGTGACCCGGTCCCGCCCAGGCCCCTGGCTGGGCTGCCCGCACAGCGGCGACTCTCCTGCCCTGGACCCCGCAAACTCACCTCGCATGCCTGATGCCCTGGCCTGACTGAACGTCTCCACGCTCGGACGGAGTGCAAATTCTGCAGCGCATGCGCCGTGGCTTGCTTGCGCGTGCGCTCCGCGATGCGCGGGCTGAGGAAGTTCAGCCGCTCCTGGCCGAGTGCCCCGTGAGACACGAGGACAGGGCTGGGACGGCGAGGAGACGTAGGAGGGCGCTCCTGTGACCTTCCTCCTTAAAACTAATGCCTTATTTAAGTGTTGGAGAGTTAATATACTACTTAGAACTTGGGGATAAGTGGCAAAAATAAAAAAATCATAAACTAGATAATTTCAAAAATTTGAAAATAAGTGGTAGTCAAAATCCTTCCGCACACCACTTGTGCACCATCCATCAAAAGTTTACCCCAAAAACATAGGTAACCACTGTAGCTTATCTAAAGTGTCCTACTAAAGTTTCTTCATACCTGTAGAAAGTATGTATATGTATATGGTCGTAAAGCCTCCCTCAGTATTCCTGGGGGATTGGTTTCAGGACCCCAGGATATCAAATTTTGTGGATGCTGAAGACTCATGTAAAATGGCACAGTATCTGCATATAACCTATGCACATGCTTTTGCATACTTTAAATCATCTCTAGATTACTTACATTACCCAGTGCAGTGCCTACACATCACATCATTCTTGTGGATTTGACAGTACTCAGCACACATGGCAAATCTAAGTTGTGGTTTTTGGAACTTGGTGGAATTTTCTTCCAAATTTTTCTTTTTCATTTTTTTTTAACTTTGTTAGAGATGATGTCTCACTCTGTCACCCAGGCTGGAGTGACAGAACAGTGGCACCCCTGAAGTTGGATGCCACTGCTGCAGGTTGGCCCCACTCATGCCCCCAACCTCAAACTGGAGGCTGATCCCTGATGCACAGGGAATGGGTCCTCTAGGCCCAGGAATGACTGAGCAAAGCTTCCCCTCTGGCTGCTCACCCATTGGCAAGTGAGGCAGGCTAGCTCAGTGAGTCCCCAAAAGGACCCCCAGGTGGTGGGGAGGCTGACCATATGCCTAGGATGAGCAGGACAAAGAGCAGGCAAATGAAAGTGCTGCCAGAAAAGGGTCTTGATCCAGACCTCAAAAGAGGGTTCTTGGATCTTGCATAGGAAGGAATTCAAGGCAAGTCACAGAGCATGGTGAAAGAAGCAAATTTATTAGAAGCTATTCCATTACAGAGTAGGGCATTGTCAGAAAGCAAGCAGAGGAACACACCATCTTTGTTTTAAGTTTTTAGGGTCTTGTTTACGTAAAGACTAAACCAAGCTGTGACTACGTGAGGGTGAGCTGAAAGCATGACAAAATTTATTATTCTACTGATCTAAAGAGACTGGGAATGGTGGCTCGCCAGGCATGGTGGCTCACGCCTGTAATCCCAGTACTTTGGGAGGCCGAGGCAGGCAGATAGCCTGTGGTCAGGAGTTTGAGACCAGCCTAATTAACATGGTGAAACCCCATCTCTACTAAAAATATTTAAAACAAACAAACAAAAGTTAGCTGGGTGTCATGGCACATTCTTGTAGTCCCAGCTACTCAGAAGGCTGAGGCACAAGAATGCCTTGAACCTGGGAGGAGGTTGCAGTGAGCTGAGATCGTGCCACTGCACTTAAGCCTGGGCAACAGAGTGAGACTCTGTCTCAAATAATAATAATAATTAATAATAACAACTAAGCTTTGACTATGTGAGGGTGAGCTAAAAGCATGACAAAATTTATTATCATATTGATTTAAAGAAAACTGCCCTTAGAAAGGTGAGAGAGGAATTGAAGGGCTGACAGTGTAGACTACAGAACCAGGAAATGACCTACCAGCAAGTCTTTTATGTGTGTGTGTTCTTCTCTATTTCTCTGTTTATTCCTTAGTGTTTGTTCTCTTATGCCTGTGAAAACCTCTTACATGCCAATTTTCGTGAACTGAAGGAACTTGAAATTCTCCCTTCTTGAAA